ATTTTTGGGGTAAAAACCTTTCCTTTAATGAAATGAAGTTTAGAACTAGGCTTTTAAATGGTAATATAGTATAGCAATATTGGTGGGAAGTGGGGATGCATACGTTTGAAAGTGCTTGTCGCGGGTGGGTCGATTTTTATGATGACCAGTGTAGAAGGCTAAAGTAAGATCTACTAAGTATTAAAGTATTCTCCTTCACTAATCGTAATCGATTGACGCTTATAATAATGTCATGAGAATTTAATGGTTTCTTAAAATATTTTTTTTCGCTTTCAGTATTTTAAAGGATAGCCTACGTTCCTCTCCGATACAAATTGACTTTTAAGTTATATTAATTTAATTCAAATGTTACTAAAGATTTTAACCGCAGCGCGAAAGTTCGTTTAAGATATCGTGTGTTTACAATCTAAGTAGTTGTCTTGTTGCTAGCAGACGAGTTTTTGCCACTTGCACGATGCGGGTAGTGCGCTGGTGGCGAAGTTGCGGCGCATCTTCTTTAAACTAGCTATTGATTAGCTTTTGGTCGTAACACCAATTTTCCGATAAGGAGAGTAAAGGCACGAAAAAAAACTAAAGCAAGAAATGGCAATATAAAATAATTGTTACACAACTAAAGTACCTGAATGCCATGAACCTGATTTTTTAAGAGATAAAGATATTTTTAGAACTCGTACAACAAACGGAACGAAAAACTGACTTGAATGAACTTTTTTCAGACCACAATAAAAATGATGCAGTGGCAAAAACCTCTTTTATTCCTGCTCCCGGAAATAAAACGTTAGTATCGCGAGCGTGTGCAAAGAATCCTACACTTCACGCCTCTCGATGTGTAGAGGCAGCCCTGGCCGCATCGATCCGATGCTGTCGCGTCAACAGACCGTAGAGAAACGAAATAGAGATCAATTTCGCCCGACTTGTTTACTTTTCAAGGTGCTCGAAGGTAGGGTTGTCAGTGGATAATCCGTTCAGTGATATCCGGAGCTGTTAGTTTCTCATGTTTAGTAATACCAGTGTCTAGTTTATTCCCGAAATAGAAGTTACATAAAGTTTGCATTTAATTTTAGAAGAGCCGAAAGTGCGGTCTCTGCGACGTAACTGCGATATGCGATCAAAATATTGTTAAACTAAATTACGTTAGTTTTAAATTGCGTGAAACAAATGCGAAACAATAAAACGAGATTAATATCTACATAAATAAAATTAATGAAACACGATGACTTTTTGTTGTAATCATATTACCTACTTAAATCTGTTTATTTCCCTTTATACTGTTACAGTTTAAAACAAGTACCTACTCGTATTTTCAGAAGGCAAAACTGTGGCTGACAGCCCTAGACATAAACGCGTTTGCTTTGACGCGCAGCAGCGTCGACGGTGTCTGTGATGCCTGAACCGGTTTACTGCGTCCTTCGTGTAATTTTTTCAGTCGGCTTTTCAATCGTATCATGTTGAATAGCGACAGCCCTGCGTACTCAAGTGGGGCCTGCAGTAGTTTGTCTGAGTGGGTACAGACTAGAGTTAGTGCCCGTTCCAGTTTATGAGGTTTTTCTAGACACAATGCGCCTCCGTGCGTGGGTAAGTTAAATGCGCTGAAAATATGACGGACTTAATTTAACTGAAATAAGTTTGTAACTATTGAATGATGAATTATTTATTAATTTAAAGATAACAATGATCCATTTCGTTACTAATGTCCTCAACAACATTAATTGATGATAAACTTATACCCTAAAGCAACTTAATTTTGTTCTCTCCTTATAATAGTTGTTCAATTAAATAGAGCATCAAATGATAGCTTTGATTTAAGAAGCCCTAATGAAATCCAGTGCTAAATGCCCACAACATCAGATCGCTTGAAGGTTATTAATATTATTACACTTCAATTGTTTTTTGCAAGGATGATTAGGTACTTACTCATTGACTAAATAACTAAGCTTTGAAAGTCTCAATTTTGATAAAATCTAATATTTCCTGAAATATGTCAACCCTACACCTGCGGTCGGGAATGCGTTTGCATCGCAGCGAGTGGAGGACGCGACTTCATTCGCGATATGTACTCGTAAGTCGTACTACTCGCTTACTATTCGCAGCGAGTTATTCCGCTTTGTTGCGCCTGCGGGACCCACACTTCAAGTTTCATTAAACAAAAGTCATTGAGAACTTTGATGCGTTGTAGTTCGTTGACGTTGTTGCGTTCACTTTATGGGTTCGCTGTGAACGTGAACCCGGATTAAAGTTTTTGCGTTTAAACAGATTTGAATGTTGAAGTTTTTAAATCTCCAAAGTTTCAGATTAAATAAAAACAATCTCATATAAATTACTACAGTTACATTGATACATGGGAACACTTTTAGTTTGGTTAGAAGTTAAAAAGCTATTTGTTAGAACAGGTATTTTAAATCATCACATTGCAAAAACATTTTGTGAGATTTTCTTAGCTACTGCTTACCAGAATGCTTTGGATAAATTCTTGCACAAAAAGTGGAGTAAAAATTCACAAAGAAGCTTTAGCATGTCGCATCTTGTGTCTCTAAAACGCGGAAAACACCGGCTAAAGAAATTACTCGCGAGGGTGTGTGGATCTATTTATTTGCAATCAGCGAGGGCAGGGAGGGGGCTCTCTAGGGGACGGTAACTCAGTTTAGGACTTCAAGCAATTTTCTATTTGCACTGCGCTCTTATGTAAAGCGGCGGAAGACGACTCCACTTTTGTTTTGATTCGCACACGCTGCGGGATAATTGAGTTTGCTCGCTTTTTACCGTCTAATGGTTGATTTAAAACAGTGATATATATCTTTGAATATATTTCAAGGCCTTAATTGAAACAAACAGACATTTCTCATTATTTTTTTGATTTATTAATGTTATTCTTGGAAATAAATTACCCATTTTTACTAATTTATCTACTGTAGTAGTAATATACCAATATCTATAAAAACTATATTTCCGCAGCTGCTTACTTTCCACTCTAAGTATTCATACTACGAGTTAAAAGCACTGCTACGAAAATTCGACAGTTGAACTCAAGTTAGTTGACTACGTAGGTTGTTGTTAACTTGCAACTTTACGTAAAGATCGAAATCGTGGTTAAGTTTCAAACAACTGCCACCCAAACAACATGAAAGTGTCGTCGGACACGTCGTAGCAGCTGACACTGCTACGGCGCTACGAGCTACGCGCTACGAGCCTCCCTCGTCTCTCCGCCATTGAACCCGCACAATCTGCAATGTGATCTTAGCTTTTTACTTATATTGACTGGCACACTTTTTATTAACTTATGACAAGTTCTACTGTTATTTTGTTATTAAACAAAATTAATAATAACAACTTATTAATATTCAACAAAAACTGACATTATCCCTACATTCGTTTAGTATTATTTTAATGACATCTTTTAACTCAGTTACAGGCCTTTTAAAGCTAATAGTAAGAAGTTACAAAAATATTTAAAACAAAGTGCGTTGTATAATTATTTCAAAATAAATGTTCATCACAGATCAAAAGTAAGGAGCCGTGCGAGTGTTGCATGGTGGGATCGCTTCCCTCGCGCCTGCTTAATATTCCGCGGGGGCGCGCGCGTTTAGGGCACTTTTTCCAACTTGTTCATTAAGAAGTCCATTCTGTGAAAACTTGGAATGCGTGTCTTCCGCCGGCCATTAACGCCCTGGAGCGAGCGAGCAGGAAATTGGCTGAACTTAACAATAGTCTATGAAGTTCTATGTTTAGTGCTGTAAACTGTTATGTACAATACTTCGTGTTTGTTTCGAACAATTATAGTTTACAGACCATTTAAAAAATATTTTATTGCTTTTTACTTAGCTCTTGTCGGTGGTAATAAGTAGTATTTTTAACTTGACTTAAATCATACCTACTAATTTGAATAATAATGTCAATAAAGCTTTATCAAAGTATCATCATGTGACGTACTACAGAATTATGTTGTCCTCCAAAAGCTTAAGTACAGATAACAATAATTATCATTATGTATTATTAATCTTCATAACATGTAGGTAAATTAATTATGGATTTTGTTCATTTATCGCTTAGACGTTTTTCAGTCGGTTATGTTATTATGCACCTATTTATATCTTCGTAGTAAGCTGCTGTATAAATGAGTTTCATACAGAAACTAAAAGTAATCCTGTGTTAAGTACAACCAACGAAACCAGCAAAATGCTAATACTTTTCTCCAGATGTAAACTCATTCAGTGTTATTAATAAGCAGAGTTTATGAAATTTAATTAGATACAGACGGATTTGATAAAGTCCGAGGACAAGTTTGCTTTCAAATTAATATTTTTCAATAGCTAGAGTGGAAGTTTGCGGGAAAAGTTTGAATCACGTCTTGGGAGTTGGGACTTTATTAGCTGTGTTTGTGGTCAACGCTGCCGATAGTTCCGTTGGAATCTAATCTTTGTGATTATGAAGATATGGTTACTAAAAGAGAGTTTTGAGTGCATCATATTACCAAAATGTAAAAAGTTCGAGTATTATTTTCTAATTTGGTTAAGATAACACTTAAAAGTCATGTTTTGTTGTTAAATGCGGTTAAGTGTAATATTGAATGAAATTATTGATTGCTCCGTTTAATGGCAGTAAACTTGGAGCAACTTAAGATTCTGTAACCACTTCACAGCCAAGAGGTAATTTCCAAAGTCAATTTGACCTACTAATGGCGCCGTAACAAGCGCGGGCGGCGGCGGCTGATCGCCGAACTTTTGAAAACTTTTCAAATAACAGCGCGTTCTCTATTAGCAACGTTCCTTACGTTTTGTTTGCATTGCTCGCATCCGCGCTCCGAGCCGTAAACAACTGTGCCATAAAGATATAAGGTCGATTTTCGAAAATGCTCGGTCAGAGGAAGGTAACGAGCTGAACACCTCGAGGTAATTTCAAAAATTCCGCAACAAACTTGCGCTAGTCATATTGCGAGCGACTTGTTATCGCACAAAGTGAGTTTTACGCGAAGTGTACAATTAAATTTTTTTTTTTTTTTTTTAATCTGTTTTTATTTAGGGACTTTTGTTTGAAAACATGTCAGTCCCATCGAATCTTAACCTACGCTTACAATAACATTCACTATTTAGAAATAAATTTAATCCTGCGAAACCATATCCACCACAAATCTTGCAGCTTTGCTTGTTGGGTTAGCTAAAATATTAAGAAAACCTCCTACATCGTACGCGTTGATGTGAAACTTTCGCAGGATTAAATCTCTTTCCTTTTTAAATTTCACACACTCTACTAGGATGTGTTGAACATCCTCCACCTTATCACAAATATTACAATTTGGAGAGTTAACTTTCTTCATCATAAAAGCGAACTTATTTCCAGGATAATGTCCAGATCTCAATCTATGAAGAACAACAATGCACTTTCTGCTCAATTTAAAGTTATAAAACCAAGGGATCCGAGGAGGCTGACATTGAATAGTTTTAAACCAAATACCTTTTTCTTTACTTCTCTCATCAAAATACTCTTTAAACTTTTCATAACAAATATTTTTGAATTTAGTTAATACCTCAGTGTAAAACGGCAATATAGGAAACTCTAGACCTTCTGTACATGCTAATTTAGCCAATCTGTCAGCCTCCTCGTTGCCTCTTAGACCCAGATGAGATGGAACCCATTGCAATCTCAGAATCATGGCTGGTGATAAAGTCAACCTGTGAATCGTTTCTAACACCGTGTAGGCTATCGGCATTCCTCTGCTATGACCAGAGGCACATCGAGCCAGGTGTTGTAAAGCACTTTTACTGTCTGAAAGAATCACTACGTTATTTCCGATATTATCATGATTTTGTATAATGTATTTAAGTGATTCTGAGATTGCAATTAGCTCCATGGTCATAATAGAAACAGTGGTATCCACTCTAAAAAGCGCTGATGTACCATTTTTAAGGTCACAAAAGGCAGCTCCTAAACCATCTCTACTTTTAGAACCATCAGTAAATATTTTAAGGTAGCCTGGGTATTTATTGGACAATTCTTCAATTATATTTAAGTACACAGAAATTTTCGGAGCTGGACATACTTCTGATACAAAACTTATAAGCTAAATATAAATATCTCAAATTCAAGGGTGGAACAGATAACTCACACTCCATAACATGTATTGGTGTGCTCTTAACAAATCCTCCAATAATTCTTAATGCCTGATTTTGTAATCTATCCAACTTGATCAGATGAGTCTTAGCACAGCTACTATAAAGAAAGCAACCAAAGTCAAGTCGACTTCGAATTGTAGATATGTATAAAATACGTAGATGTTTGGGGTGGAGACCCCAGCCAGAACCCGCCAAGACCTTAAGGAGATTTAAATATTTCGTCACCTTCTCTACTATCTCATTGACGTGCTTACTCCATCGAAGCGACCTATCAAGCCATAAACCCAAATATTTAACTACATCTTCCTGTATTAGCGTAGTTCCTTTTATATTAACTTTAATTTGTGTTAATCTACGACCTCTTGAGAATAGACACAATTTGGATTTGTTTGTAGACAACTGAAGTCCAATATTGTCCAATAGACTAATAACAGTGTCAAGAGCTATTTGTAATTCCATTTCACATCGACTCAGGTCTTTATGACTGGTATACAGAACATAATCATCAGCGTATTGAGCAACCATGACACCTGTAATTTGCCGACATATAGATATGGTTACAATGTTAAAAAGCAATGGTGCTATCGGGTCACCTTGAGCGAGTCCCCTACTGGTACATCTGACTTCTGTTATACCACCCTGCCTCTCACTTCTAATTGTCAGTCGTCTTTCGCTCAAGAAACACCATAAATAGTTACAGATCTATTTCCCAACTCCAAGTCCATCAAGCACTTCTATGACTTTGTTCACCAGTACGTTATTATAGGCATTTTCTATGTCAAGGAAACAGGACACTGTTGGAGTGTTGTTAGAGAACCCTAATTGTATATGAGAAACAAGTCTGGCTAGACAGTCTAAGCATGATTGGGTTCTTCTAAAACCAGAAGTTTTCGGGGACAGTATCTGATGATGTTCTACAAACCACTCTAATCTCTTGCCTATCATGTTATGAAATATTTTACACAGACATTATATTAAAGAAATCGGTCTAACTTTTGCCTCCTGACTACCCCCAGCTTTAGGTATAGGCACTACCAATATATTACGCCATTGGTTTGGAACGGTACTTGTTCTGAAGATAGCATTATACAGTTTTAACAAAAACTTTTTGCCAGATATTGGTAGGTTAGATATCATTGAATAAGTAATACCGTCACTACCCGGAGCGGTATCTTTCTTTTTTAAACAGACTTCTAGTTCTTGCGTAGAGAACGGTATTCCTAGTAAATTATTGTTCGAAACTATTCTAGGGGGACAATCAACTACATAATCAGGGGCTAGTGAGTGTAACAAATCATTTTTTTGATGGTCCGCGACTGAGAACTTTGACTGACGATAACCTTTGTACCATCTCATTTTGCGCCACATATCAGAAACATCAGTACACTCATTAATATCAGAACAAAATTTCCTCCAGCTGTTGTTTTTAGCTATTTTAATATTTTTCCTAGTTTCTGATATCTTATCTTCTAATGTTTTTAAGTTAGAGGGTGTGGGGTTTTTTCTAAAGTTTCTTAGAGCTAATCTACGTTCGGCAACTAATTTAGATAAATCTACATTCCAATACTCTCGCGGCTTGAAACTTCTAGTAGGATTATTACAAATTTTAACGCTAGGTATGTGCTTACTTGCTGAATTATTAATCTGGTCTATGAGGTAATCATAATATTGCTGAATAATAGAAGAGTCGCAATTGTTGCTATCAAAATTGAAGAAAGCGTTTAAAAGTTGTTTACTGTATGCTTCCCAGTCAGCTTTTTTAAAATTGCGCCTTGCAACATAGTTTAAATCCATGTTAAAATTCATAGATATTTTAATAATGAGATGGTCGCTACCCAAGTTTTCGCTCAGTACTTGCCATTTAAAATGTATAANGGGTGCGATATATCAGACGATGCAAATGAAACATCAGGGGATGACCTTTGTAATACACCATTTACAAATTTAATTCTAGTATCTTCTCCATTATTAATAGAAACAAAATCATGTTCTAAAGAAGAGTCAAATAATTGCAGACCTCTATGGTCGCATTTATAGGACCAATTTGTGTGATGGCCATTAAAATCCCCAGTAATTAAAGTTTTGCTTTTAACTAACCCAAATACTTTGTCCCAATCTGCCTGATTCGTCCGCACTGAAGAGGGGCAATAAATAGCTATCAAATTTTCAAGGTGTTTACAGTTTAAAATTTTGACATAAACAATCTCTATACCTGAATTGAAGCCGCTGATGGAGCAAGCCTGAGAGTGTAGAGTATTATGAACTATAACCGCCACACCGCCATAATTGTCATACCTGTCCTTTCGGTAAATATTATAGCCACTTATATGCAGAGGAGATTCCTCTTCCAACCAAGTCTCACAAACAATAGCTATATGTATATTTTCCTGGTATAATAATGCGACAAAATCAATCAGTTTTGGTCTAAGGCTTTGTGCGTTCCACTGGAGTATATTAATTTTAGGACTACTATTCATTAAAAAGCTTAAACAAAGTATCAACTAATCTTCCACCTGAACATAATTTTACTATACAGCTGCACTCTTCTATTATAACTTTTAAAACCAACATAATCTTAGACTCAAAGTTATTTTCAGACAAAAAAATGTTCTTTAGTTTAAATAACAAGTTCCACACATCGAATTTCCTCTCTTTTCTTTTATTTTTATCTTCTTTCACTATATTATCATCTTGGGATTTTTCATCATTTGACCTTATTTCCGTATCCATCATAAACTCTTCGTCTAAATTATTTTCTGTTTCATATCGAATTTGTTTCTTTTTCCTGTGTTTACTAGTTTTAGTTCCTTGCAATATTTCAGAATATGAGATTTCTTTTTCTTGCTGGTTATCTTCGTGAATTTCTGCTGTTGTTTGTACAATGCTGCTAGAGCTTCTGTTTATATTGGTTAAGGGAGGGAATGATAGTATAAGATTCAGAAGTGGAAACTAATTAAAAAAAAACAAATTCAATAGAAAACCCGTTTATTAATTTTAAACATTTATTCGCAATAACTCAAAATAATTTCAATCACATAAAAATAACAATTGCACACTTATTTAGCAAGAAATAGAGATAAATAAAAATAGCTCACGTGACCTTCAATCGACCGACAGAGATTCCTCCAGACAACCGTCCGTTCCGAGCGCCGAGAAGCAAATGGGCTCCGGTACACGCGGCGTTGGTTTTTATAAACGACGCCCGGTAGTTTGATGACGTAGCCAGGCAGTTCCTTACAATAGTATTTCACTTGAGATCTGGGTATTAGGAGTAGTTAAAATGTCCTTCTCTTTTATGGTAAAATCTTTATTCTTCTCGCTGGCCAAATATAATTCTAAAGCTTTTTTATACGTAAAATTTTGTTCACTCATAATTCTACGAATATTTTTTTCTTTGGTGAAGAGTGGGCATATTTTATCTAAAGACATATGAGGCCCTTTACAGTTTGAACAAGTATATGTTTCCGTTTCACAATTCGCATGATTTTTACCACATTTCGGACATGTTTCTGTATTCAGTGAGCAAAATTTTCTTATGTGACCATACTTCCAACATCTTGAGCATTGAGTCACAGGGAACACAAATTTGTCAACATCAAACTTGCATCCATATGCTTCAATCGTTGGCGGTGTTGAGGCACTTCTAAAGCATAAGCGAACTGTCTCACTCTCAATCCATTTGTTCTCATTGCTAATGCGTTTCATTCTTTTGGCTGAGACTATCTCAGATGTAGCTTTTAGATTTTCTAAAAGTTCTTGTTCGCTTATGTCAAGATCAACTCCTCGTATAATGCCGTATGATAAGGTACTGTGATTTGTGAGTTGGGCCCTTACGTCCATTTCTGTCAACTTTGTGTTTGAAATTAGTTTATCTGCTTGTATTTTACTATTAAATTGGACAAATACTCTGTAAGGGCTTTTGTATTTAATTTTAGTAACTCCAGTAATATTTGAGTTTTGCAAAAACTTGGCCAAGGTCATTTGTTTCATTAGAGTTTTAGGTGAAAATAAACATACTTCATATATTTCCTCACCCGTTGAATTAAACATGTCTTCAATATTATTATTCTCTTCTTGTGTTGATGCTCTTCTGTTTAATCTTTTAGCTTTTCTTTGAACTGTTGTAAATCCTTCTTCACTACTTTCTTCACTTTCACGCGGCCTTTTTTCTTTATTTTTCTGCTCCATTTCTTGTAATTCTTTTTCACATTCGTCCAAAATGTCATCATCATTTCTGTCATCATCACTTAAAACATTTTCTTCCATTTTCACTTTAGGAGGGNTCCTTACACGGCCTCTCCTGACTGTGTGTCGTCCTCGACACTTGTTCTTCGGGTGGTGCCACTGGGACCTGCTACGCCTGGCGCCGACTGTTCAGGTTCTGGGTCAGCGTCCAGCAGGGGCATCGAAGGGTCAGCCGGACGAGTAGATGCTGCTGGTGTGGTCTCGTCATCTTCAGAATTCTCGTCTGGAAATGACATTGTATGAGAAACAGTACATAGGACAGCTAAATACACACGACCTCGTATGTCTTTCACTCGATCAACCAGTCAATTAATTCAAACATCAATCTAATAAACACTCCTCTAATTCGCTCATTCATACATCCATCTTTATAAAGGTAAGTCAGAGACGTCTCTTTAAAATAGTCGAACCCAATGCAGACTGCTCTCCAATACTGAGGTAGTCTCCCCAGCAAGACTCCCTCGTCCAACTGGCTGCCTGCAGTTTCAGCTCCTGTAACATGACTTGACGCAGACCATAATCATACGTCAAGTCGTTTGCCACGCAGACCGTATTCGTACGTGCAAACCCGCCCAACGCGCAGACCGTATTCATACGCGTG